TAAAAACTTATTGACCATTGTCAAATCCTTCAGTGAAGACATTAGAATGGGGTTCGGAATCGAGGAATGTGACATAGCCACCTTCAAAGACTAACAAAATATACAGATTTACACTGTGATATCGATAACAAGATTAAAGAACTAGACGAAGATGGTACATACAAATACTTAGGAATTAATGGAGGAGACGGAATACAACGTTCAATTTTAAAGAAAAAGATCCGAAAAGAATATCAGAGGAGAGTACGTTTGATACGTGAAAGTGAACTTAATGGTAACACTGAAATGAATATCAACTGAGCTATACATGTAATAATATGCAGCTTCAAAATTATTAAATAGAATTTCAATGACATTAAAAGATTGGACGTCAAGACCAGAAAAAATGTTTTCCCAAATGAGGATACACCACCTGAAATCAGATGTCGATAGGCTGTACGTACCAAGAGCTTTAGGAGGGTGGCGTCTAATCCGACTTGAACTGACTCTAAGAACAACATCAATATCAGATTAGAAGCATACTTTACAAAAACCAGTGACCCTCTCTGACAAACAGTAAAGCACCAAATCCACTCCATCAACAAGGAAACGCACTAATCAAGAAACAGCTTAATATACCGGAAATCCCACCAACAAAAAAACGAAGCGAATACCATCTACGCCAAACGAGTAAAACAGAAAGCAAAACAACTTGGTCAAATTAAATTAAAACAAAAGAACTGGAAGGACAAGGCCTTGCATGGCAAATACCTAAAAAAAAAAAAACGAAACCAACAGATGTAGACCAACGGAAAACACATCAGTGGCTGTGAGAACCGGGTTGAAAGCTGAAATAGAAAGCTTAATTATTGCAGCTCAGGACCAATGCATCACTTCCAGATCCTATCACTGTCACATAATCAAGGATGGAAGTAAGACGAAATACAAGACCTGCGGAACATATGATGAAATTGTCAACCATAATATCTGAGCATGTCCGGACCTAGCAAAAAATGAATATACTCATAGAAATAACACGGTAGCGACATATGTGCACTCAAGATATGCAAAAAAAAAAAAAAAATTGAGTGATGGTATGAGCACCAACCAGACGCAGTTACCAAAAATATTAATGTAACTATCCTTTGGGACATGACAAATTTATGCTTATTGACATAGCAGTAAATGAAAAAAAAAAAAAAAAAAAAAAAAAAAAAACACACCCCCATAAAAATTATCGAGAAATTGTCCAAATACAAGGGCCTGGAGCAAAATACATGATACCATTAACGATAGGATAAAAATCATTTCTAGTTCTTTTAATAAAAACGAAGCATTGACGTCTCTAAGAAATTGGCTCTCGATTTTTAAATCCACAGTTCTATCCATGTTTTTGTCCGATTCCATTATTTTTATATGTTTACATTGTAAAGAAACATTTTTTAAAAGTAAGTTTTATGTATCTATTTTTTAAAATCTTTTTAGTCTGTCAAATGGTCATATTTGTAGGAATAAAATTATTATCAAATATTTTAATTTTCGTATGTCTTTATGTCCGTCCGGCATTGTGTCCATTCGGCTTCTTGTCTTCGGCAAAATTCCATTCGGCTTCCCGTTCGTGTGACATGTACACCACCGACCTAAAATATACATTTAAAGCTTAATGTTACTGTATCACTAACGTTTTCTTTGCTTTTTTTTGCCTCCTTATTTTTTGACTTCATTTCTTCCTTCTACATTCTTTGCTTACCTACCTTATTTTTTTCTTTCCTGATTGTTTCTTACCATTCCTCCTTTCTTCTGTGGGGACTTTTGTCCTCGAAAATTGTTTAGGATAAAAACCAAGTCGGACAGGTTCAGAACTGAAGCTAAGTACGTAATGGAACGACAGCTTTTGAAGAAAGGAAACACAACAACCGTTTCAGTTCAATTAATTTCCTGTAAGTAAGAAAAGTTGAAAGGAAAATGTTTATATGTGTCTTTGCAAACAAAGTTCGTTTTAGGACTTAGCTTGCTTGAAGATTCGTCCTCGTAAATGGTAGGACGCTCAGTCTGTAGCAGTGGTATTTGTCTTTTAAGTAGCAGTCCTAGGTTTTCCTGGGTTGCAGGTTCGTATATGGGTTGGGCGTCGCACATGTCACTAGCCGCAGCTGCTTCTTTCTGGTCCTCTAGGGCTCGGGCTCGGGTAAAAGCAGTCTGTCACGCACACACAATTCGAATCGGGTCAAGGCTAAGAGCCAGTCGCAAAGGAAAGCGAACGAAAAAAAGAGAGGCCGAATTTAGGGCCCTGACCGGGCCCTCATTTCGGCCTAATCTACGTGTGACCGTTAAATTCCAATACTCTCCTTACTTAAGTATATGTCTATATTTCTGAGATGAGGTATTATGTACATTATTTGAATTATTCGGACTATTGTCCTCATCTTTGTCGCCATATTTATTACAACATTTCGGCCGTTGTACGCTCTGACCTTCTTCAGGTGGTTGGAATGTCGAACTTAAGCCTTTATTTCGCTCCCTGGGGTAGACTGTTCTAGTTCCATGTGCCATGTTTGATGGATGTCAGTTATCAGTTATCACCTGTTAATTTCCCCATGAAAGTTCTCCAATGCCTTAACTCACACTCTTTGGGTCCTGTCTCTGGATCTAACCAACGCCTTTATCCACTGTGCTATATGTCAAGGATACATGGCACAGTATAACTAGAACAGACTACCCCAGTGAGCGAAATAAAGGGTTGAGTTCGCCATTCCAACCACCTGAAGACGACTGGAGCGTACAACGGCCGAAACGTTGTAATAAACATGGCGGCAAATATGAGGACAATAGTCCGAATAATGTAAATAGTCTCCTTACTTAAATCTTTGTTCCTTCTTCCAATTCTCTTCAGCTTCCTTCCTTCATTAGTTTTTTGCTTTTTTATATCATTTTGTTATCCTCTCTTTTTCATACCATGCCTCTTATCATTGATCCGTACCTTCCTTTCCCCCCGACCGCTTCCTTTGTTGTTTTCTGCCTTCTGTATCTAATATAAATATCTTTCTTCTTCCACTGCTCAAGTCTAGGGATATTTAGATAGACATAGAGATCCCTATTCCTAGATCTAGACAACATTCGTAAATATAGGCATTGGCAAGAGAACAGTCTAATCCATAGGTTAAATAAAGTGTTTACTTCAAAAATCCCTGTAGGTTATTAGATCGATATATTCTTGAGAAATGCCAGAGTTCACAACGTCGAAAACATTGGGATAACAACATTAAAGATTAGAACAATAGGTCGAATGTAAATAGTGTAAATGATTTTAATATCTCCTCCTAGATATTTAGGCTGAATCTGTAATGTTCAGATAATCTTTAATATTCCTTTTTTTATTATTTACGACAGATGTTTATCATAGTTTTGCCTCTTACATTCTTGATATGCATTCCTTTCTTGCCCATTCCTTCTTTCCTTCTTTTATCTCTTGAATTGTCCTTTCCTTCCTTCTTTTATCTCTTCCATTCTCCTTCCCTTCCGTTCCCTCTCCTTCCTTCCTTCTTTTATCTCTTCCATTCTCCTTCCCTTCCGTTCCCTCTCCTTCCTTCCTTCTTTTATCTCTACAATTGTCCTTTCCTTCCTTTATCTCTTCCATTCTCCTTTCTTTACTTGCCACTTCCTTCCTTCCATTTTTATCTCTTCCATTCTTCTTTCCTTCCTTTCTCTTTCTTTCCTTCCTTCTTTTATTTCTATTCCTCTTTCCTTACTTGCCCTTTCCGTCCTTCCTTCTTGGATCTCTTCCATTCTTCTTTCCTTCTTTTCCCTTTCCCTTTCCTTCCTTCCTTTTTTATCTCTTCCAATCGTCTTTCTTTCCTTGCCCTTTCCTTCCTTCCTTCTTTTATCTCTTCAATTGTCCTTTCCTTCCTTCCTTCCTTTATCTCTTCAGTTCTTCTTTCCTTCCTTTTTTTATCTCTTCCATTCGTCTTTCTTTCCTTGCCCTTTCCTTCCTTCCATCCTTTATCTCTTCCATTCTTCTTCCCTCCCTTTCTTAATTTCTTGTTTGACATCTTCCTTCTTTGATTCGTGAAGCTTTTATTTTTCTATCATCTTTCGTTTTCTGAAAATCGGAAATATCACTTTTTATTTAATATACTCCTCCCGCTCTATGCGTCTGATATTGGTTCACTGTTAGCACCTTCCTTCCTTCCTTCCTTCCTTCCTTCCTTCCTTCCTTCCTTCCTTCCTTCCTTCCTTCCTTTCTAGTTTGATATGTTCCTTTATTGATTTCGTGCACCATGAAGTTTTCCTATCATTTTTCGCTTTCTGAAAATCAGAATTATCTCTCTATTTAATATAGTCATTCCGCCTTATGTTTCTTATCTTGCTTCTTTGTTTGCCCTTCTTTATTTTCCTTGTCTTTTCTTTCTTCCTTTATTTCTTCCTTCCTTCCTTTATTTCTTGTTTGATGTCTTCTTTCATTGATTTCTTGCACCTTGATTTTTTCTATCATTTTACGATTTCTGAAAATCGAAAATATCTCCTTTTTATTTAATATAGTCCTTCCGCCCTATGTGTCGATTGCCTCCTTCCTTCCTTCCTTCCTTCCTTCCTTCCTTCCTTCCTTCCTTCCCCACTTTCTTCCTTAATGCGTTTATTTTTCTATCATTTTTCGCTTTTTGAAAATTGAAAATATCAATTTTTATTTAATATAGTCCTTCTGTCCTATGTCTCTTGTTTGCTGCTTCCGTCCTTCCTTTCTCTTTCCATCATTCCTTACTTTATGCCTTCCTTAATTTCTAGATTGATATCTTCTTTCATTAATTTCTTGTTACTTGATTTTTTTCTATCATTTTTGCTTTTTGAAAATCGGAAATATCTTTTTATTTAAGATTCCTACTATTTTTATGTTATCTTTCACTTCCTTAAAATAGGAAATATCCCGTCTTTTTATTTCCGACTTTTAAAATATATTTGTCACATCTTACCCATTATGCCAATTTTTATTTTTTATTTTTGAAAATAACCTTTTCAATGTCATACTTATGACTCTCTCTTCACCACCTCCCTACTCCTCTTTCTTTCTTTCTTTCTTTCTTTCTTTCTTTCTTTCTTTCTTTCTTTCTGTTACATCCCCCTTCTTTTCTATTCTCTCTTGTTCCTTACTCTCCCTTTTATCTTGGTTTTTCTTTCCCTCCCACTCAAATTTCTTTACTCTCTTTTCCGTTTTCCTTTTTTTTTTGTTTCCAACTCCCTACCCTGTAAAACCCTCGTTTCCCACCCCACTTTAGCTCTGTTGCCGCGTAACGTGACAGTTTTTAGCAGTTGGTTGGTTGGTTGGGCGGACGACCATACCTCAGACGTGTCAGCCGAGATGATGAAGCTGTAGTCTGTCGGCTCAGCTAACGTAGGGACTATAATATCACGTCAACAGACCTCCCTGTCAAGAAAAAGTAGCAATTACACCGTTAGATATATTGATGGTCCAGCACTGGCGTCCAAAATAAACATTTCGAAAATATCCGTGTGCAGCCATAAGCCACTAGACTCGTTCTTGTGATTCTGTTACTTTTTTTTTATTTTATTTTAACCGTCTTCTTCCATCATTCTTTTTGCGATGGCAACATTCCCTTTTTCTTTCCTTCTTGTTTTTTATTACTTCTTTTATTTTCCAATGTTTTGTCATTCTTTTTTTTTTTAATTATTGCGTTATTTCTATACTCTCGTATTTTCCTTCTTTTTTCATATGAGTTTTTATTTCAGTGTGTCTTTCCTTTTTACTTTCTTTCTTTATTTCTTTCTTCATTTTACTTTCTTTCTTATTGTCATATATTCTTTCTTTATTTAGTTTTTTTAATTTTTCTTTCTTTTACCAGGCTTTCTTTCATGTTTCCTTTCTTTTTTTCTTTCATTCATTTTGTCATACTTCCTTTCTTTATTTCTACAATTTTAATTCTTTATTTTTATCAGACATTCTTTCGATATTTATTTATTTCTTCATTTGTCTTTCATTCTTTTTGTCATACTTTCATTCATATTTCTTTTGATATTTTTCTTTCTTTCTTTTTGCCATACATTCTTACTTTCTTTAGTAACTTGGTTTTCCTTCTTTGCTTTTGTCATACTTTCATTCTTATTTGTTTCTTCATTCTTTCTTTCTTTCTTTTTGTCATACGTTCTTTCTGTAGTTCTTTCTTTTCCTATTTTGTTTACTTTCATTCTTAATTATTTCTTTATTTTTCTTTCTTCCTGTTATACGTTCTTTCTTTCTTTAGTTATTCGTTTCCCTCTTTGTTTGTCACATTTTCTTTTTGTCATACATCTTTTCTTTCTTTACTTCTTCGTTTTCTTTCTTTTTGTCATTCGTTCTCTCTTCGTTTTTTTTTATTTTCCTTTCTTTGTCAGGCTTTATTTTTTTCTTCGGTTCTTCGTTTTTCTTCTTTTTGTCATTTATTTCTTCGTTTTTTCCTTTTTCTTTGTCATACATTATTTCTTTCTTTTTTCAATTTTCTTTCTTTTTCCATGCTTTCTTTTTTCTTAATTTTTCTTTCTTTCTTTTTGTCATCCAGTTTTTTCTTCTTTAGTTCTTCATTTTTCTTTCTTTGCTTTTGTCATTCTTTCCTTTTTTATTCATTTCTTTCTTTCTATTTGTCATATTTTCCTTCATGTATTTCTCTTATCATTTCTCTTCATCGTATTTTTTGGGATTTTTTTTTCTTTCTTCCTATTTTTTTCTCATCAGTTATTTTTTCTGGTTTTCCTTTTGTTTGTTTTTTAGTTTCCTAATTTGTCTTTTCTTTATTGGATAAAATACTTTTATTTCTTTCTTTATTCATTCATAGCTTAATATTTTGGCAATTTATCTTGCAATTTGCACCTACAATTGCTTTTCCATAATCTATCTATCTATCTATCTATCTATCTATCTATCTATCTATCTATCTCAGCCTGTTCATATCTATCATTCATTATCTATATCATTCATCTATCTATCTATCTATTCTATCTATCTCAGTCTATCTCAGACATTCTATTATCTATCTATATCTCATCTGTTCATATCTATCATTCTACATTCATCTATCTATCTATTCATCTATCTATCTATCTATCTCAGCCTGTTCATCATTCATCTATCTCCATCTATCTATTATATCTATCTCATCTATCTATATCTATCTATCTATCCATCATCTATCTATTCATTCATCTATCTATCTGTCTATCTATCTATCTATCTATCTATCTATCTATCTATCTCATCTATCTATCTATTCATCTATCTATCAGCCTGTTCATATCTATCTATCTATCTATCTCAGCCTGTTCATATCTATTCATCTATCTATCTATCTATCTCATCTATCTATTTTTTATCTATCTATCTATCTATCTATCTATTATCTATCTATCTATCTATCTATATCTATCCTTTTTTTATTTATTTCTTGTTCCTAAAAGCTATTTTCATTCATCCCTTCTTTTCGGCTTTGCCTTTTCGTTATTTGCGCGACTTTCTTTCTTTCTTCCTCCATTTTATCTCTCTATACACATTTCCCTTCACTTTTCTCCTTTTCTTTTTCTTCTGTGTGACCGCTTTTCTTTACTCCATTGTATATACAATTCACTATTCCTGTTCCTATTTTTTTTAATTTTTGTTCTTCTTCTTCCTTTTCTCCTTGTATCTCTTATTCGTGTTGTTTTTGTGATGTTTCTTCTTTTTCTTGTAGTTGTTGTTCTTTTTCTTGTTGTTCCTTTTCTTGTTGTTTTTCTTCGTTTTCTTCTTGCTTTTTTTCTTGTTCTTCTTTTTCTTGTTCTTTTTCTTCGTTTTCACGTTTTTCTTCTTTGTTCTTGTTCTTGTATTTGTTGTTTTTTCTTTTTGTTTTTCGTGTTTTTCTTGTTCTTTTTGCTATTATTCTTTTTCTTGTTGTTATTTCTGTTGTTTTTTCTTCTTGTTCTTCTTTTTTTTGTTGTTCCGTTTTCCTTTTTGTTCTTTTTCTTGTTGTTCTGCCTCTTTTGTTGTTGTTTTTTTCGTTGTGCTTTTCTTGTTTTTTCTTCTCGTTCTTTTCCTTCCTCTTGTTTTTACTTCATTTGATTTCAGATGTTCTTCTTCATCTTGTTTTTCTTCTTGTTTCTCTTCTTGTTCTTATTCTTTTTGTTTTTGTCATTGTTGTTATTTATTTTTTCTTCTTCGTCCTCCATACATACATACATACATACATACATACATATATATATATATATATATATATATATATATATATATATATATATATCGTTCTCTCTATTTATTCCCTGCCTTTCCATCATTTCTGTTCTCCTACTGCATCTTCGCATTCTGCAGCCATTCATCTTATTTCATCTACACACTTCGTCTATTCTTTACGCCACTTTCAAAACAAGGATATTCTAAAGAAGTTTTCATTACATCAATCAACACTAAAATAGGCAATAACAAGGCAGTCGATTGTCTCATAATTCAAACTTAGGCAGTGGCACCAGAATAACAATAGTCCGCACAATAATTCTTCAAGTTAGTATTATTCGATTAACTTATCTCAATACACTTGTTAAATAAGTTTACTCCGTGGGAATCTCGAGGTCAGATGGCAATGGTTGCATTTCCTTATATGGAAACATTTTGAATTCATAGAAACAACAGCTTGAGATAATTTAAGATGAAGTTTACAATTATTTTTCTACTGAAACAATTTTTCTGGAAATTAGGTTTCTGTTACGAGACCTTACCCATAATAACATAATGGACTATTCCATACGTAATAAATACTGCGCCTCAAGAGGAAGCAGAGAGTTCAGTTTAAAGTCTGTAGTGAGGTCCGGCAGGAGTCAGTCACTCTGTCAGAGCGAGTCAGTCAGTCGAGTCAGAGGCAGTCCGAAACAGAGTCGTGTTCAGACAATTACTACTAAACCTGATTGTTCGTACTAACATTTTCTACCTCTCTGTATATATTCCTGTTTGTAATATATCTGTGTTATTCCACATCCGTGTTCGAGTTCTTCTTTATTGGTTCTACCTTGGACTATCACCGTAGTACAAGGAACCGGACCATAACAGTTTCACAAATCCAGTAACTGTTATCGCTCTTTCTAATATCGGTAGTGGTTCCCTCTCTAAACTTTTCTTCGATGTAGTTTAGAACGTAAACTGCTTCATTTACACCATTATTTTCTCTACTAATTAATTGTGCTATCCATTTTCGTTGTAGCTATTGGTCATCTTCATTTTAAGCGGTTTCTGTAAGGTGTCAAAGTTGTTTGTGTGTGATATGCAGCGACAGTAGAACATGTTCGTAGAACAGTCCTCGCTAAAACATACAGGATTCCATTCGCTCGGGCACATTTTTAATCATTGATCAAACAAAGCGATTGTATACAACTGGCAGTTTAGGTATTTTATCTAGTTGGACAAAAAGTATAAGAGCCTCCAAAGGCCGAGGCTATTTTGCAACGTGACACAAGGTTTATATGTCTATATGTTTAAGGATAAAGTTTTGATTTCACTGCATCTCGTGATTTCAGAAAAAATAGATATTCTATATCCAGTAGTTAGAAAAGACTCTTACTTTTTGAGATTCCTAAATTAAATATATATGGTGGACTCTGTCATCGAGTTCGACATATAAGGTGCTAACGACCACGAACTAATTATCTGCATGTCTATGACGGGCATGATTTTTAAGACCCGCTCGATAATTGCACAAAAGTCCACAAACAGTACAGGAGAATATATTGTATCCAGGTGCAGCAGGAAGAGTTAGATGTCTTTACTTTCTCGTTTCATGTAATCGACTGATGGTTACTTCTCAGTGCAGCTATAGCAATGTTGTACTTCTTTAGCTCCAATGAGACTAGAGCTGTTTTCTTTCTGGTGCTGAGTTGTTGTCCTGGAGAGTTCGTACATTCCATGTGTCAAGATGAAGTTGATGTTTCGTAGAGATTTTTTCTCAGTAGCCGGATATGTGTAGAACTAATTAGATACAGTTGTCAGAAAACCAACACAATGATTTGTTTCAAGTGGTGAAGGCTTATGTCGGACCATCCACACTTTTTGGATCTGTCGATAAAAAGGTAACGGTGCAAAAGACTTGCCTCGGAAACTCCGAACGAGAGTCCTTATGTGTTATTATCGCGGAGTTTAACCTCTCCGGACCACAGTCAATATCAGCCAGTACACGCCTCTCGGCAGATACATGCAATATAATGACCAGGTTAAGCTGTCATGAGTTTTCGTTCCCATCTGAAGTCTTTTTATCGTGAAACCAACACTAAAAGATTGCTAATCAAAGCTTAGAGAGACTCCTTTCACCCTCATCAAGGGCAGCTACCTCGTGTCACTTCTCAACCCGGTACTTTACATAGCTCCGCGGGAAAATTACTACGACCACGAGGAATTTATCTCAAGAAAATTAAAAATTTTAACATGATTATTAGACATTATACACACACACACATATATATATATATATATATATATATATAATGAAATGGACAAAGTCCGACAATTATTTTAAGACATTTTTATGTTTATACATTTCTTTTATAGATACAAATATTTAAGTAAATGCTCCGTTTTATAATAAACCGTATTAATAACATTTACTTACCTGAATGTCCGAAATATTTTCATAGAAAATTTTCGACCTCCGATAGGAATCGAACCTGTATCCTATACGGAACAGTCATATAACCTGACGTGCCTTAAACGGTTTCGGCCACAGAGGAGTGCTCGGTTAGCAAGGTCGAATCTACTGGTTATAAACTTCAATCATCCATGAATCTCTCACGTACACTTATATCTGCTCATGGCATATCAAATGCAAACAAAAGACGTCACACATTATGAAATGGACAAAGTCCGACAATTATATTAAGACATTATGCTTATACATTCTTTTTATAGATGCAAATATTTAATTAAATGCTCTGTTGTATAATAAACAGTATTAAACAACATTTACCGGCCTGAAATTCGTATCTATAAAAAGAATGTATGAACATAAAAATGTCTTAAAAAAGACTAAAAAAACCCTCACGTCTGAAGAGATGAATATTTAAATGTAATGAAATAAATTATAACCGAAATAGATTTTTAAGGAATTTATTTTACTTATTATTATTAATAATATATATATATATATATATATATATATATATATATATATATATATATATATATATATATATATATATATACGTGTGTGTGTATGTATGTGTGTGTATGTATGTGTGTGTGTGTGTATATATATACATATACATACATACATATATATATATATATACATATGCACATATATATACATATATACACGTATGCATATAGATACATATATGTGCATATAAATATCTATATACATATGCATACAGATACATATATGTGCATATATATACACATATACATATATGTACATAGATGTGCTTATATATATATATATATATATACATACGTATATACATATCTACACATATATATCTACACATATACATATATATATATACAAATATACATATATACACATACACACATATATACACATGAACACACATACACATATACACACACACATATATATATATACATACATACTATATATATATATATATATATATATATATATTAATTATATTTAAGCAGCAGGTATTCATCCAAACAAGTTTGATCATAAAGTATCGACAAGTTTAATGTCTGTCTGTTCGTCTTCTTCAGGTGATAACGAAAGACAAAACTGTGTGTAAGGACAAATGGATTAAGGTCTCGCAGGACCTGAGAGGCCATATTGTTTGTTTTTTTTTCTTTTTTTTTTGTTTTTTTTTTTAATAGGAGCGTTTGTTCCGAGCCTTCGTATTTTGAGCGCGACTGAGATACGCGTGAGCGTATTTCTATTAATTACAGAACTTTTAACACTCCCATTAAATTAATATTCTTCAAAATGGTCTCCTGTGGCATTGTGTGCAGCATCTATCCTGGCATCATAGTGTAGCTACCAAAAACCCAGCTAAAGTTTTGAACAGTCATAGGAACAGGCAGTTTTGGAAAATATAATACTCACAGGTTACCATGAGGGCAGGTGAAACCAAGACACAAAATTAAGTAACCTATTCATTTTACCCGGTAACCTATTTATTTGATAAAACTCATTAATGAGTATGAGAATTAGTATCACAAGCTAAAAGTTGGCAAGCATCATTTAACACAATAACGGATATGAATTTCTGAAGAGCCAAACACCAGCGAAATAAAATAACATTGCCAAACTTTTTCTGAAACGTTACATAAAGGTTACAAAATCGTTAGAGACTGCCTACAATGTGTCCGGAACGTTAGATCATAAATTTGCAAATTCGTTATCTTTTAATTTCATATTAACAGAAACTGTACAATAAATGTCAAGAAGTTATTAGAACGTTCATTCATCATCTAAATTAGCTTTTTTTTTTCTCTCCAAAAAATAACAACAAAATATATTTTATAACTTCTATATATATTAAATGAAGAAAAACTATGCTGCTTTTATTTGATGAATTTTTCAACTGGAGCTTTCCGCTCAGAAATATAGGCTTCTAGTACCTTAGCGTCCCTTGAAAAACGCGTACATGGATAATTATCTATGTACACGTTTGTACATGTTCCTCTGATAATATCTGAAGCGTTTAAAGGTGATTACCATAAATTTTGAAAAGAGCATAGGTAGTAATCATAAATTTATAAAAGTGAATTAAAGGAATAATAAAATGTTTATTTGTTTTTAAAATGATATGACAGATTAACCGTGTCGCATGTACGTTTTTGTTTCAGCGGTGTTTTTCTTGTGCTAGTGGTAACTGTAATTTTCCTCGCTCACAAATACTTTTCTGTCTTTTTTATTTATGGTAACTAACTTTCTGCTTGTTTTGAGTAATTAAAGGTATTGGTGTGCAAATTCCTATATTAAAAATCTCTTTAAATAAAATGGTAAATTCACAAAATTATCAGTGATAATCAGTTATCTATTGACGCATTTGTCTTGGGACGCAAATGACCAGAGATGCAATTGTCTAGGGATGTAATTGTCTGATACGCAATTACGCCGGACGCAACTGTTCAGAGATGAAACTGTCTGATACGCAATTATGCGGGACGCAAATGTCCAGGGATGCAATTGTCTGATACGCAATTATGCAGGACGCAAATGTCCAGGGATGCAACTGTCTGGTACGCAATTTTGCGGGACGCAACTGTTCAGGGATGCAATTGTCTGATACGCAATTTTGCGGGACGCAATTGTCCAGGGATGTAATTGTCTGATACGCAATTTTGCCGGACGCAACTGTTCAGAGATTCAATTGTCTGATAAGCAATTGTGCGGGACGCAAGTGTCCAGGGATTCAATTGTCTGGTACGCAATTGAATGGGACGCAAATGTCCAGGGTACGCAATTGTGCGAGATAAAAATTTCCAGTACGCAACTGTCCGTGCTGTGAAATATAAATATAGTAACTTCTTCACAACATCATATGTACACCAACCAAAACACAGCACGTCATCAACCTGGCCGGAAGGTTTCATATTATCTGGGATGATCACACCATGAAACGAGATGGTGCATTAAATAAAGCTGACGTCCCGTGCTCCGTTAGTGTAGTAAAGTGACCAAATATACTGCAGCTCTAACAGCTGTGGGTGTGTCTTGGGCAAGAGGGCATGACAAAGCCTAAACTTTTCGAGATTGATTTGAAGTCAGAGTTTTACTTTAGCTACACTGGTTGTTAACAAGTCTCTTCTGATATTGACCCCATTGCCGAGGGAGAAGAATTGGATCCATACCTTTTCTAAAGGTATTTGCGCATAAGTGAATAGAACGAACTTAACTGGAAATCGAACTCGGATCTCCGATTTCTCATTCCGATCCGCTAACCATTATATTACTCGGTAGTATCGTGGACCACATAAACAACCTTAATGTATCATGTGACAATGATATAAGTATCAACATAATCATTAATATTCGTTATTCTGATTTTCAGTTCTTCGTCTTTTTTTTTCTTTTTCTTCTTTCAATGAGAGTCCCAAATCATATAACCTATTCGCTTTCTGTTGCCTTTTCCGTCTTCCCGTTTTTCTCGCTTTAAACTCTTCTTACCATTCCTCTTCATTGGCCGTCCACAACCAGATCTCGCAATATCCTCGCGTTCTCTCGTCCGTTCTCGTCTGCGGCCATTCTTCAAATTCTTCAGGAGTAGTTGTGATTCTAAGATTGGTTGCTGGAACATTTCTACTGTTTATTTGATTTACACCGGTGATTTTCTGGCGAGAGGAAAATGAATGAGAAGGAAGAGATAAAATGGCAGACATCGATTGCGACGGGTGGCTGGGTGAAAGAAGAGAAAGGAGTTGAAGGTGGGAAGGTCAGGAAGAGTAAGTGAAAAGGATGGAGCGGAGAGGAGAAAGGCGACGGGCGGGAGTGGCACTGGATGAGAAATTGAGTTAGGTGTGGAACATTGGATTGCGGGAGAAAAAGAAAGAATAGACCGCAAGACGCGAGGAAGGGTGAAAGGGTGAGAAAAGTAAACAAGGATTCAAAAAGTAAGAAAAAGGAGGACAGAGCAAGAAGAAGAAGGAGGAGGAGTATAAAAAGAAGAAGAATGAGTAGAACAATTGAGAAGAAGGAAAAAAAGTGAAGAAGAAGAAGAAGTGAGAAGTAGTAGCAAGAAAAAGAAGTGAAAAGAAAAAGTCGTTTAATCTATTAAGAAGAAGTAAGAATAAGAAAGAGAATGAGATGAAGAAATGAAAAGAAGAGGATGTGAGAGGAAGAAGAAGTGAGAAGAAGAGAATAGATGATGAAGAAGACTGAGAAGATATGAGAAGAAGAAGGAGTGAGAAGAAAAAGTAAGACGATGAAGTGAGAATAGGACGAAGAATAAGAGAGAAGAAGAAGAAATGAGAATAAGAAGTGAGAAGAATAAGTTGGAATAATATGAAGAAGAAGTGAAAAGAAGAAATGAGAAGATGAAGTGAGAAGAAGAAAAAGAAGTGCGAAGAAGAAGTGCGAAGAAGAAATGCGAAGAAGTAAGAAAAAGAAAAAGAAATAATAAGAAAAAGAAACGAGAAAAGAAGAAAAAGAAACGAAAAGAAGATGAAAAAAACGAGAAGAAGAAGAAAAAAGAAACGAGAAGAAGAAGAACAAAGAAATGAGAAGAAGAAGAAGAAGAAAAAAGAGATGAGGAGAAGAAGAATAAAGAAATGAGAAGAAAAAGAAATGAGGAGAAGAAAAAAACGAGAAGAAGAAGAAGAAAAAAGAAATGAAAAGAAGAAGAAAAAGAAATGAGAAGAAGAAGAAAAAAAATGAGAAGAAGAAAAAAGAAATGAGAAGAAGAAGAAAAAAGAAACGAGAAGTAGAAGAAAAAGAAATGAGAAGAAGAAAAAGAAAAAAGAAATGAGAAGAAGAAAAAAGAAATGAGAAGAAGAAAAAGAAATGAGAAGAAAAAAGAAATGAGAAGAAGAAAAAGAAAAAAGAAATGAGAAGAAGAAAAAGATAAAAAAATGAGAAGAAGAAAAATAAATGAGAAGAAGAAGAAAAAAAATGGGGAGAAGAAAAAGAAAAAAGAAATGAGAAGAAGAAAAAAGAAATGAGAAGAAAAAAGAAATGAGAAGAAGAAAAAGAAAAAAGAAATGAGAAGAAGAAAAAGATAAAAAAATGAGAAGAAGAAAAATAAATGAGAAGAAGAAGAAAAAAGAAATGGGGAGAAGAAAAAGAAAAAAGAAATGATAAGTAGAAAAAAGAAATGAGAAGAAGAAAAAAGAAATGAGAAGAAAAAAGAAATGAGAAGAAGAAAAAGAAAAAAGAAATGAGAAGAAGAAAAAGATAAAAAATGAGAAGAAGAAAAATAAATGAGAAGAAGAAGAAAAAAGAAATGGGGAGAAGAAAAATGAAATGAGAAGAAAAAGAAATGAGAAGGAGAAGAAAAAAGAAACGAGAAGAAGTAGAAGAAAAAAGAAACGAGCAGAAGAAAAAGAAAAAAGAAACGAGAAGAAGTAGAAGAAAAAAGAAACGAGCAGAAGAAAAAGAAAAAAGAAACGAGAAGAAAAAAGAAAAAAGAAATGAGAAGAAGAAAAAGAAATGAGAAGAAGAAAAAGAAATGAGAAGAAGAAGAAAAAAGAAATGTGAAGAAGAAAAAGAAAAAAAGAAATGAGAAGAAGACGAAAAAAGAAATGAGAAGGAGAAGAAAAAAGAAACAAGAAGAAGAAAAAAAGAAATGAGAAGAAGAAGAAAAAAGAAATGAGAAGAAGAAAAAAGAAATGTGAAGAAGAAAAAGTAGAAAAAGTGAGAAGAATAAAAACAAGAAAAAGAAGAGGGAAAAGAAAGGAGAAAAAGAAGAAGAAGGAGTTAGAAGGAAGTAGTTACTTAACCCATTAACGCCCACTGGAAAGTCCGGTAATACCTATACTGTAGATATAACGTCCGGTAATTTCTAATTTTATATTAGAGATTATATTGTAATGTCTAAAGAAGGAATGGACTTTTCATTTATTAATCTGACAGGTTTTATCACTTAAACGTTACATTTATAGGATGCACATATTTTAGTAGTTGCTCTGTTTATTTATTAAACAGTATATTCACTCATTTTCTTCTACCGGCCACAATATTTGATAAATCTTATTAAAAGAAAAGTAAACGAGTAAATTAAAGAGACGTTGGGCGACTTTAATTAGCGACACCTTACGCTGACGTCGAACACGGCTTGAGCCCAAGAGGAAAAACCCGGGAAAATGAAAGCAACGTAGAATATAGGGAGATTGAACAGTAAGAAATATGTCATGGCTAAGCGTGCGATATGGAAGAATGAAATAGCACGGACGGTTTCGATTATAGAGATTTCATATATTCATAAATTGTTTATCCGGTGGTGGCGAGATGTCCTATGCGGACAGCACACTAATTAAGCTTATATCGCTAGTGATGCAGATGAAAGCTTGAAACTGCTTTTCATGTATTGGGAACATACATAATAGCTGGCCACTCCTATTCGGGGATACCCGACTACTAGGGCAACTAGATAATCCCTATTGCAAACGCTCGCTCACGCAGATTTGTGTTTATTCAACACCCACAGAGCCAAAATGTAATTTATACTGCATCTATGCTGAGCAGACCTTAGTTACAGTTTCTGGGAGAGAGCGTGTTATCTAGAATGATCAACAATCTGATCAACAACAGCACTAACAAACCATCGGTCACAATGAGTTCCGACTTCGTGCTAACACGGTTATCGATGGCCCCCAAGGGTTCTGTCGACCCAATTTCACTCAAAAGGCTTGTGTCAACTCGTGGTAAGATTTTCAGGCACTTTCGAAAGGTGCCTCATGCTGAAATCGTCCCTGTTCCCCACCTCCATTCCGATAACATCAGGGAGTCTTCTTCGACCATGGTGAGATTCGCACTAGGGTCAGAAAGCAAACGTTCTAACCACTCAGCCATGCGCCCATATATTGGAATATATATATGGCATTTTATTTTAATAATCAATATATATATATATATATATATATATATATATATATATATATATATATATATATAAACTTCATTACATATGACAGATAAGGTGGTTTGATTAAGATTTTTTATATAATTTCGCATATCATCTTATAATTTATTTCTTTTCAGTAGATCAATTTTACAAAAACTGTCCAAATGTTATCTTTTTCCAAACGCTTTCGGTTATACAGCTACCTATTCTCAAGGATGAAATATATTACTTTCTAAGTAGAAATAGATTGTTCTATGTATGTATTTAGTATTATAGAATGTTTTATTTTGAAAACACAGTCAACATATTGTGTCCATCTTAATAGTTCATATTATTGAGTGTTTTTTTTTGGGGGGGTGTTAGGCACCGTCTGTGAGAAAAAAGAATACCGTTACGCATTTCACCCTGCCAGGAACTAGAAAACGGCAGAATGTATTGCTTGGCATTCGCACAGGAATCCCCAATACGATGATTTCAGATTGTTTAAGTGTCAATCTGAGGACAGTGCAAAAGGATTCGGAAAGAGCTGGATGAGATTAATGGTGATTACGAAAGTATTTGGACATTATGCTTTCATTCATCTTCCTACAGGACACAACACGGAGACCTACATCAATTGCCTTGAGGAGGTAGTGCTTCCCTGGGGAAAAGGTTGGCTGATGGAATACCCTATGTCTGGCAAGAGGACTCTGCACTATATGACACAAACAGAACTCTGACATGGTTGTCAGGCAATTTCTGCGACGACATCCCTATTTGCGTCCGGCCACCTACCTCCATAGACTACAACACCCTTGATTATTGTGTGTGGAGCGGATTTCAGCGAGAAACTAACAAAACTTCTTGTAACATCAAAGACCAACTGAAGGCAAGAGTTATGGTAGCATTCACCAACTTAAACAAGAAGGAGAACGTTCAGAAGTGTTGCAGGAGATTCCAAATTGGTCTAGAGGCCATGCTTGAAGCCACTGGCGATTTTATTATACAAATTTACTATTCAATATTTCAAGATATTTTTGTGTCATTTTGGTAAATATGTCTGTTAAAATAATGAGATTTATCCAGCCAACTCTTTCTCTCTCTCTCTCTCTTATATATATATATATATATATATATATATATATATATATATATATAGACAAAACCATTTTACTCACTACAAAGATGCAACTTGGTTTCAGTGCATTTCAACTGCACTTCGACGGGTGAGAATCGAAAATGGTTATCGCTCTACTATCGGTATTGAGCCCTCTTTTGGATTAATGCTGTGAAGGTTGGAATATATATATATATATATATATATATATATATATGTGTGTGTGTGTGTGTGTGTGTTTTTTCTAAAAAGTAGATGGATTTTAATTGGTAATACAACAGATTTCATCATTTTAAACATTATATTTAGTGGATTATCAGATATGAGTAGACAATATATTTATTTCCTTTGCAGGAGAAACAGTAATTAAATCCGACTTGAGCAGATTACGTTCGGGGAAATATTAACTAGTGCCTTATAAGCGCAAATCCTTACAAGAATCTCAAAACATTCATAACTGCTTAGTTTTTCATCCTAACGTAAACAATGCAATTTCTAAGGAAGTTACAGAATTTTTATTATTATTAATCGTGTCACTTAAATGTGGAAACGCATACTTAAATAAACGTGTAGTATATTTATTAAACAGTATATTTATTTAGTTTCGTCTATCGAGCTGAATATTAGAAAAAAAAAAAAAAATGCGCTCTCGTCTGGATTAGGATCTGATTCCTCTTTTACAGGAGAAACCATCGTTAGATCCGCCGTGCTCCAGACAGACTCAGACACGCAGTGTTTCGTCACACAGGCAAAAGTCGAATAGTGCCTGTTAAACATATCTTTCCCATATACTCGAAACATTCATATCTGCTTCAACCATGGCCTCCAGACGACTTCGGAATTTCATTCAACACTTCTGAACGGTCTCCTTGTCTTTAAGTGTTACAAGGAGTTTTGTCAATATCTCGCTGAAAGCCGCTCCACACATAATAATCAAGGGTTTTGCAGTTTGGTGAGTTAGGCGGCCAGATGCAAGGAATGATGGGTCGCAGAAATTGTTTGACAGCCATGACTAGATTCTCCTGATTGTGTGGCATGATAAAGAGTCCTGTTTCCAAACACGGTGTTCTTCCAACAGCCACTCTCAGGCCCCAGGGCAGAATTACCTCCTCAACGCACTTGATGTAAGCCTCTATATTGAGTCTGAGGTCCCGTGGGAAAAGGAAGGCATAATGTGGCCATCATATAACTTCAAATAGTTTCGTAATCCGAACTAAAATAAAGTAATATCTAAAAAACAAAAAACAAAAAAAAAAAAAAAAAAAACAATGGATTTTTTATTTATTAATTTGACAAAACTTCCTTCTTGTTTATAGAATAAGAAAAGATGAGGATGATTCGCTCCTGTGTGCGAGGAATGATGGGTTTTAGCTGGGAATCTCTTAACTGGTTGGACTAATACTCCATGGAAATAATGGTA